GTCCGGGCTGGGGATTCGAACCCACCACCTTAGGTGTACGTGGCTGGCGCCTTAGCCGGTTGAGCTATAGGCGCCGAGCCTGTATACCAGTTCTTAACCGCCTGCCTGGCTGTGAGGTTGTGCGAGGTCAGGGAAGGGAGGCTCAGCGGAGCTCGGTGAGGGTGTGCTCCGGGACTAAGCACCAGGCAGTCTTGCCTGGTGCTTGCTGTGTGGCAGGCGCTGAACTGAGCTGTGTCAGCTGGGGAACACAACCAGGTCATCCCAACCATTCCTCCACCTCCAGGGCTGACCCGCCCGATGGAGGACGTTCTAAGGCTGGCTCACACTAGCACCATGGGCTGCCTCCTGCAGGCAGAGCTCAGGCCCAACAATAGGGCTTCTCCTGTAGGGAATAGGTAAGGGGTTCCCGGCCCTGTCTGCCCAGGGGAGTAGAATACGTACAGAGCAGGCTTGGTTCTCTCCTTCAGGCCTCCTGGGGTAGAGTCGCTTTCCCAGGTATAGGAAGGGCTGTGTGTTGTCTGGCCCAGGGGATGGACCCTGCATGTGCTTGGACAGGCTCCCAGACATCTGAAGGGATGTCCTCTGGTGTCCTGGACAGGCCCAGGTATGGGCCAGGTCCTCATATAGGATGTGCAGCCCCCTCAGCATAAAGATTCACTGGCACAAAGTCCCCGGTATGCTGGATATGAGCTGGCCTGGTGTCCAGCCCTGGGTGGTCAGACCCTGGGCCCCACTCAAGACTCCTAGGCTGCTCAGCCCTGCCCTGCTGGGCTCTGGGGGAGGGAAGTGGGGTGGGACCAGGTACAGGACAGGTCCCCTCCTCCTGGAGCTCCTGCTCGTGTCTGCTACCAGACACTTCCTTCATCTCTCTCCCTTTGTCTTTTTAGAACAAAGTGAAGGAGTTTGGAATCGACCCTGCAAACATGTTTGAGTTCTGGGATGTAAGTATTGGCACTTCCTGCCTGGGTGAATGATGTGATGTGTCCTTTGCCAAGTCTGACCACTGAGCCAGCCACAGATGAGGGGGCCCATGAGGTCAGGTTAGCATTTATTGAGTACCTGCTATATACCTAGCTTTGGGGAAGGTAGGGAGGCCCTAGAGGCTGGCAGGGCAAGAGCAATCCAGTTAGGATGAGGGTTGAACTTCTTCCTGGGGGCAGGCAGAGTTTGCAAGGCCAGGTTGTCACTTCCGTGGGTGCCTGCCAGCAGCACCCACTGAGGGATAAACAGAGTCACCCCTGCCCCCCTCACAGAGCTGAGGTTGTGAGTTATTCTCAGTGATGACCTTTCTCTGAGCTGTAGCTGCATCTTTATAAAGGTCAAGGGGCAGAGTGAGGCAAGAGGTGTGACTGGGTAGGCCTGGAAAGGAGCAACAGGAGCGGCTGGAGGGACCTGGCCTAGGGCCTGGACAGTGCCTGCTGGGACTTGCAGAGCAAAGCGTGCCTCGCATGGCACAGCTGCAGTCCACTGCTCTATAGCAATAGGTGGGCACAGGGATTCACCTCTGCTGGAGCCAAGCGATGTAGCTTTCCTAATAGGAAAATGTAGCTCAGCAGTGGTGTGAGAGGGCTGTGAGCTTACTTAGAGACTCTGGCTGTGAAGACTTGGGTGCAAGGACATGGTGCAAGTTATGGCATGGGTGTGTGCTCTAACACGTGGCTATAGCAAGCATGCTGAGGAGGGCATCAGCCGTTTGGGGGTTTTCCCACTGGGGTTATTTCCAGGCCTTTAGACTGCAGGCTCTTTGCTAGGTGATGGCATCCATAGGTGTGTGACCTCATCACTTTGAACTTTCTAAAGGCCTTTTTCTACTGGGGTCTGGAAGAGAATGAAGCCTTAATGCCCCAAGCCATCCACTCTTTCTATAATGAGTTAACTTCTTTCTAGAATGGGACTAGTTATGTGCCATCCTTGGAAGAACTGAGAAGAGTCACTCAAATCATATTCTGCATCCTGTGGCTCAGATGAGGAAACCTGGTCAAGAGAGACTGTGCAGCTTCTAACAATTGTTGCATGCCTACTGAGGAGGGGAGGCACCTTCCCCCTCCTGCTGGAGCCTGAGCAGGTGGCGGGCAGGGATGTGCAGGTGCCCCTGCTAGCCAAGGAGCCCTGCAGAGCAGGGATTGCACTGTCCAAGTCCTCCCAGCACGCATTGTGGGTTGCGGTTTAGGGAGGGGGGGGTCTCCCAGGTAAGGCCTAGGAATGACAGTTAGGGGCCAGGGCTAGCTAGTGAGGCGTGAGTGGCTGGAGTGGACACAGTGGAGGCCTAAGCCAGGTAAACAGAGCATGGTGGCTGAAGGGGGACTTGCTGGAGGCACTGGAGCGTATACTGCAGAATCAAGGTGATGTCTGAAGAACCCAGAGGCAGGAACAGGTGAAGTTTCTGGAGCTAGGGTTCGTGCAGCGAGATAGAGGCATCGGGTCTGGCTCAGGGTTATGGCACTGACCCTGAGGTGAGCGGGGAAGAGTCCAGGCTGGTAAAGGTGTGCATAAGTGGTAAGGCTCGCTCTGTTGGGGTCAGTCACGGGGCTGCTTTGTATGTCAGGATGAGGCAGAGATAAACCATGGGGCCTCTCATGGCCTAGACAGCACGTGGAGAGCCAGTTTGGGGCTGTGAGTTCCAAAGAGGAGCCAGGTCAGGTACAGGTGAGTTGTGAGGAGAAGCCAGGGCAGGGAAAGGTGAAGTCAGTGAATTCTGGAGGAGAGACCCAGGTATTTAAAGATGGTTCTATCAGGAGAGGTCTAAAGGGCCAAAGTTGTGTGCAGCTGTTCAAACTGACTCTGTAGGAAGAGGTATAGGTCTGTGTCATGGGACAGGTATGTACATGGGGGTCTCTCCAACTGGTTCTGAAAAGTGAGGGTCAGGTAGTGGGTGGTTAATCACTTCAGTGGTTTTAGAGGCTGGATGCCGTGCCTCATTCCTATAATCTTAGCACTCTGGGAGGCCAAGGCGGGAGTCCTCAGGATTGCCTGAGCTCAGGAATTCAAAACCAGCCCCAGTAAGAGTGAGATCCCATCTCTAAAAATAGCTGGGTATTGTGGTGGGCGCCTATAGTCCCAACTATTTGGGAGGCCGAGGCAAGAGGATTGTGTGAGCCCAAGAGGTTGAGGCTACTGTGAATTATGATGATGCCATGGCATTCTTCTGAAGGTGACAAAGTAAGACCCTATCTTAAATAAAAAATTTAAATAAATAAATAACATTTTTGGGACCCAGGATTAGGCAAACATAGGTCATCTGGTTCTCAATCTCCTGACCCGGTGTGATGGGCTGAGCTCAGGATGTCCCAGAAGCCTCTGAGAATTCGGAACAAGTCCAGGTTATGGTCTGTGGTATCACAGTCTGGCTGGGGTAGGGTCTGAGGATCCCAGATGACAGAGGTGGGGATGTGCCTGAGGAGTAGGAAGTTTGGACAGATGAAGCGCAGACAGGTGAGCTGAGGAGCGACACTGCAAGTCACCGTCTAACAGGCTCATGATCGGGAAAGGTCTACAGACGCGCGTCTGTAGGGTGGGAAATCTGAGGCCCTCGTCAGTCAGATAGTGTTTGGTGACACGGCCCTTACCAAGCTCCCCGCAGGCCAAGGTAAGCAGCCAGAGGTCTGTCAGGGCTGAGGGAAGTGTCTGTTCAGCTCAGGTGTGTAGAGTAGCGTCCTCTAGGCATGGTCTATAGAGCCATGTCTGCCTGAGGTCTCAGAAGTTAGAACCAGACAAAGGTGTATGTCTTACAGGGTTTCTTAGGGGAAGCCTGAGGAGCCAAGATGAGACATGTGTAGGTGGAACTGGGTTGGTCAAGGAAGGACGCTGGAGCTGAAGGTAGGCAGACAAAGCTGGCTGTGACAAAGGAGAGTAAAAGCCATGACTCCAGGTCAGAACGGTGTCCTCCGGTGACCCATGAGTCTGGGGGGTGGGGAGTGGTGTGGTCCTGGATCCCCTGGGAGAAGACATATAATCTGGAGTCAGGCAAAGGGATGGAGAACTGTGTCTGTCTGGAAGGGCTATGGCGTCTGGCTCTGATATAGGTGCATGGGGCAAGTCTGGCAGATGAGGTGTGAGGGTTAAGTGGGGAGAGACCCACACACCACTGTTGGGTCGCACAGGTAAGGCCTGAGTTGCTGAGATACAATCCTAAGTCTGAGAAGCTGGGTCTAGCAAGGTGGGTAGAGTTCGTCATGTGACTTCTGTGAAACCAAGGACCAGCAGAGGTAGATGATGTGAAGAGCCATGGCCAGGTTCACTGAACTCCGGCATGTAGTCGAGATCAGGCACAGGTAGGTAGAGCGGCTGTGTCAGGTGAGGCCTGAGGAACCAGAGTCAGGCCCACCTTGAAAGAACTGTTACTTCTTAGATGACCTCTGAGGACGTGAAGTGAAGACAGGGGATGCAGTAGGTCTCCAGGTGAGATCGGAGCAGCTGGGATCTGGCATAAGTGGGTAGATCTGGATTTCCCAGGTGGTGGTTCTGTATAGGTAGGGGCTTCTCAGAGGCAAGGTTTAGGGGTGTGGCCAGGCTCAGGCACGTGAAATGGAGCTTCTTGGGTAGGGTCTGTGGAGTCTGTGTCTGACACATGTTTGTATCTTTGGGTCTGTCAAATCTGAAGAACATGCAAAGCAGGCCCAGGGTTTGTCAGGTAAGGTCTCTGGAGACAAGATCAGGGTTCAGGTTCATAAAACTATGTCCATTGAGGCATAAAAGGTCATAGTCAAGGCTCGGTGCCCGTAGCAGAGTGGTTACGGCGCCAGCCACATACACCAAGGGTGGCGGGTTTGAACCTGGCCTGGGCCAGCTAAACGACAATGGCAACTGCAACAAAAAATAGCTGGGTATTGTGGCGGGTGACTGTAGTCTCAGCTACTTGGGAGGCTGAGACAAGAGAATATCTCTCTCTCTCTCTATTTTTTTTTTTTTTTTTTGGTAGAGACAGAATCTCACTTTATTGCCCTTGGTAGACTGCAGTGACATCACAGCTCACAGCAACCTCCAATTCCTGGGCTTAGGTGATTGTCTTGCCTCAGCCTCCTGAATAGCTGGGACTACAGGCGCTCACCACAATGCCCAGCTATTTCTTTGTTACAGTTTGGCCAGGGCGGGGTTTGAACCCTCCATATATGGGGCCAGCTCCCTACCCACTGAACCACAGGTGCTGCCCAGAAGAGAATCTCTTAAGCCCAAGAGTTTGAGGTTGCTGTGAGTTGTGATGCCACAGCACTCTACCAAGGGTGATATGGTGAGACTGTCTTAAAAAAACAAAAAAAAGTCATAGTCAAGTCTGGGTAAGAAGAACGGGATGTGTTAGATGAGTTATGAGGTGTGAGATACAGGTAGGGAGGGGTGACCTACCAGGTACAATCTCAGGAACCCTGTTCAAATGTGGGTAGGGAATGCTGGCCTACTAGGTGCAGTGTGAGGACTCAAGGTCAGGCTCAGGTAGGTATAGCTGGTCTGCCAGGTATGGTCTGAAGAGCCAGGGTCATACTGTGTATTTGGGTAGGTAGAGCTAGCCTTTCAGGTGTGCTCTCAAGAGCCAGGTTCATGTACAGTAGGTAAGGCTGACCAAGGTCAGGCACAAGTAAGTAGAACTGACTCACTAGATGTGGTCTGAGGACTCCAGGCTCAAGCACAGGTAGGTAAGGTAGTCAGAGCCAGCCTTCCAGGTGTGGTTTGAGGAACCACGTCATGCACGGTAGGCCCACCAGCTGTAGCCCCAGAAGCTAGTGTCAAGGCACAGGTAGGTGGAGCTGGCCCACCAGGTACAATGTGACAGCCAGGGTGCAGGACAGGTAGGAAGGACTGGCCTGCAGGTGTGGCCTGAGAGCGCAGGTCAGAGGCACTTGGTCAGAGACAGTCTGCCGGGTATAGTTTTTTGAGAAGGCCTGAGGGGTTAGTGTTGATCACAGGTGGGTAGAGCTGGCTCTTTCAGGAGTGGATTCAGGTGAAGGAATGTGTGCCTCTGGGTCTTTGTGGTGAAGCCTGAAGGGGGAGGGTTAAGCCTAGGTGAATCCAGCCCACAGCACTGGGGAGTCATTAGTGCTGGGATTAGCTAGGGGTTGGTGACGGTGGATCTGAGAGATTTAAGCTGAGCCAGACAGATATAGACTCCCACGATCAGGGTTATGGATAAGAGCTGGATCCCAAGGGAGGAGTGTAGAGTTCCAGTTGGGCTCAGGGACACGGACCTTGGTCTGTCAATTTAAGTGAGGGGTCAGGATTAGGCACTGTCAGGTATGTGAATCCAGGCCCCTCAGCTGAGGTGTCTGGACCCTGCCTCTGACAGGTGTCTAGAGCACTGGACACAAGTAGGCAGAGCTCAGTCTCCCAGGTGAAGCATTTGTGTTCAGAGCTGGTGTATTCACCTGGCTGGTTGGTTCCCTCCAGGTCACTTTGGCAGAGGTGGATAAACATGGTCCCAGCTGGGCACAAAAGTACTTCTGGACTTGTTAGGTGAAATTGTAAGGCAGGGTCTAGCCCAAGTATGCGTAATTGGTGTGACTGGCTGGACCTAAGGAGGTGGGTCAGGCACAGGTGCTGGATGAGGCACAGTTTGGTGGGTAGCATGGGCTTTTGTCGAGGGAAAGCAAGCCTTAGTCGTCATAGGGGTGTGGACTTGTGTCTGCTGCCTGATGTTTGGGGAGCTGTTAGGATCGGGTAGGACGGAGTGCCTTGAGTCAGTCAGCTTCCTGGTCTCAGCATCTAGTCAGATGTGGTAGGCAGTGCTCAGGGTCTTGTAAAAACCTGAGAGTCTACAACCAGTCTGAGATGCTGGACTGCAAGGTTGCATTGCATTTGGGTCAACATAGAGTCTCAGTTGCCCGAGGAAGGAACAAAGGATTATACCTGGTTTGACTGGGTATCTAGTGGGTGGGGTCTGGGTAGGCGAGGCACGGACTGTCACACTGAGGAGTTGCCTCTCTAAGGTAGGGTTTATAAGGCCCTTTGCAGGTACAGGTGAGGTCTAGCAACCTGTGTCTGCAGGTTGAGATCTCAGAGGCTCCAATCAGGCACTGTTTGGCATTGCTGGGCTCTCTCTTGACATCTGAGCACCTGGTTTTGGCCAAGGTCAGTAGCCTGGAATTTGTCCATCTGACTGTATGTAGAAGGGTACTGGTCTCACAGGATTCTTGGCTTGAATTGAAAAGTCGAGTTATGGCCAGGCACAGTGGCTCATGCTGTAATCCCAGCACTCTGGGAGGCCGAAGTGAGTGGATCCCTTGAACTCAGGAATTCAAGACCAGACTGAGAAAGAGAGAGACCCGTCTCTACTAAAAACAGAAAAACTAGCCCCATGGCAGGTGCTTGTAGTCCCAGCTACTGGAGAGGTAAAGACAAGAGGATGGCTTGAGCACAGGAGTTTGAGGTAGCTGTGAGCTATAATGACACCACAGCACCCTACCCAGGATGTGAGGTGCTGTTTCAAAAAAAAAAAAGAAAAGAAAAGTCAGGTCACTCCAGTCGTTTTCTTTGGGGCTTAATTCTCTCTCTCTTAAGTAAGGCTGCTCTTGCCACGGGTCCTTTGCATGTGCTCTTCAGACTGCTGGAATGCTGCTCCCTCAGCACTTCTCTGGGTAATGCCTGTTCACTCTTCAGATCTAGCTTAAGCACCCCTCAGATTTCTTTTATGGTTTCAGCACCATTCTCCCTTTCTTCTGAGCACTCCTTTTCCAGTTTCATGTTTATTGGCCTGATCAATTATTTCATTTACACCACCGCACTTGACTGTTTCTGTTGCCTCTGGCAGGTGCTCAGTAGAAAGCTGTTAGATACGATATGGAGTCTGCCAGTTAGCGCCAGAAGGCACAGAGTGAGTGGTGGGCCTAGGTGTGTCTGAGGCTGTGGAGATCAGTCAAGTCTGAATAAGGGCTACCATCAGTGTCCTGGAAGGTGGGGTGGGGTGTTGGGCCTGTCACTGAGGGGTCATCACCAGACTAAGGTATGAGGCTTAGGGTCTATCAGTGTCCAAAGAGGCAGAACTAGGTACAGGTAAGAGTTGCTGGATCTTTCATAGTCCAACAAATAGTTTATTACATGTATCATGAAGCTTTGGGCCTCAGTCTGAGGAAATGGGGCCTGGCACAGATACGGGCCCTGGGTCGGTGTTTGAGAAGGTGGGCTAGGACAGAGAACGAAGTTGTGGGTCTCTGAGTATATGAGAAGGCCAGACCAAGGCCAGCTAGGACGTACTAGGTCTGTCTTGTGTTGGAGCAGGCAGGCCCAGGCACAGGTAAGAAGTGCTTGGTCTTTCATTGTCCAAGGAAGTGGGCCCTGTTATGAGATATGGGCCAGGGAGTCTAAAAAGGCAGGGCCCTGGTACAGGTATGAGGCCCTGGGTCTGCCAGTGTCTGAGGAGGTGGGCAAGGCACAAGTAGAGGTTTTGGATCTTTCCAAGTCTGAGGAGGTGGGCAAGACACAGGTAGGAGGTTCTGGATCTTCCCATGTCTGAGGAGGGGGGGCAAGGCACAGGTAGGAGGTTCTGGATCTTTGCATGTCTGAGGAGGTGGGCAAGGCCCAGGTATGAGGTTTTGGATTTTTCCGTATCTAAGGAGGTAGGCAAGGCCCAGGTATAAAGTTCTGGATCTTTCCATGTCTGAGGAGGTCGGCAAGGCACAGGTAGGAGGTTCTGGGTCTGCCCATGTCTGAACATATGGAGAAGAGACAGGTAACAGTTTCTGGGTCTTACCACGTGTGAGGAGGTGGGCAAGGCACAGGTACGAGGTTCTGAGTCTGCCAGTGTCTGAGGAGGTGAGCAAGGCACAGGTATGAGGTTCTGGATCTTTCTATGTCTGAGGAGGTGGGCAAGGAACAGGTATGAGGTTCTGAGTCT